GAATCGTGGAGTGATTCAAAGAGTTCAAAGGTCCCTTATAATTCGATATCATCTCAAACACAATTCAAGTCATTTATCCCAAGTTATCGTGAATGTTAAAACTTTGAAAGTTACAAGATAGTATTTCCATGAGCTAAAGTTCAAAAACAAATAAAAGAATGGATTCAAACTTCACTCCAAAATTCCATAACACAATTAAATTATTATAGCTCGCACAGTTTCTTTACAAGTAACTAATCCTAATCCTAAGTTCTCCATGTTTGTGAACTTCTTTGTCAAGCCATCAGACATGAAATCTCGAAAATACATAAAGATATATGCGTCGTTCCCAAGTAAAGTCGTAAACCAAACTTGTCTAACATAGCCCAGGTAAATCGTTCATACTAGCCCGTAATCCATAGAGGTAAACCACACCAAAGGCCAATCAAAGAGAAAATGTAACTATCATCAAATTCAACACAAGAAGAGTTCTAAAGGGCATTAAAATCACCATTGTCATCACATCTCTTAATGGCTCATCTTTATTCCCAATGATTTTTCCTTCTGGATGAGACGTTTTATATTTAAATAACCTCTTAGGTGGAACATGAACTTCAGAACTATTTTGAATAATTTTTGAATCTGTAGCAGTAGGATTGTTTGGAGTTACTTCAGTTTCTGCAGCTTCTGGTGTTCCCTCAGTTATAGTATTAGACTCTGATAGACCATCATCTAAACTCTTTTCTTTTGGAATACATACCACAAGTTGTTCTTCAGATTTATGAATTCTTGCAATATTATCAACTGGATCTGTAGCCCCAGACTTTTCATAGTAAGGAACTTTGTTATCAAATCTAACGTGCATAGACTCTTCAACCATTCTAGTTTTTGAGTTGTACACTATGTATGCTTTTGAAAATTCAGAGTATCCCAAAAAGATACCCTTTTGAGCTTTAGCATCAAATTTTTTTAGGTAAGCCTTATTATTCAAAATGTAACAAATACATCCAAATTGATGAAAATAAGATATGCTTGGCCTCCTACCTTTAAATAATCCATATGATATTTTATTCAAAATTTGTCTAATATAGATTTTGTTCTGAATATAACAAGACATATTAACAGCTTTTGCACATAAGTACTTTGGAAGTTTGTTTTCATGAATCATGGTTCTTTCCATTTTTTGTAATGATATGTTCTTTCTTTCTACAATTCCATTCTGTTGTGGAGTTCTAGGAGAAGATAACTCATGGATAATTCCATATCTTTCACAAAAAGATTCAAATGGCTCATTTTCAAACTCTCCACCATGATCATTTCTAACTTTTAAGATCTTTACTTCCATTTCAGATTGTACTTGAATGCAAAAGATGCTAAGTACTTCGTATGTTTCATCTTTAGATCGGAGAAATTTTACCCAAGTTCATCTACTGAAATCATCAACAATGACTAAACCATATTTCTTACCACTAACCAAAGCAGTTCCAATAGGATCAAATAGATCAATGTGAAGTAATTATAAAGGTCTAGAGGTAGAGACAATGTTTTTAGTTTTAAAAGAGGTTTTCACAATCTTTCCGACTTGACATGCTCCACAGAGAGCATCTGAGTGATAATCAAGGTTTGACATCCCTTTAACAAGTTTTTTGCATGCTAAGTTTGGAGATTAATCTTCAGTTAATATGACCTAAATTTTGTGCCAAATTCATTTCTTATCACTCGTTGTCATTAGGAAAACGACCTTCTGATTAGTCAATTCTGAAAGATTAATTTTATAAACATTTCCCTTCCTTTTCTCTTTGAACACCATAGTTTTATCATCATTAACAACTGAACATAAATTCTTATTAAATATTACTTCACAACCACTATCACACAATTGACTTATACTTAGTAGATTATGCTTTAAGTCATATACTAGTCAAACTTTATTGATAAGGGTTAGACAATTATCAATGGTACCTGAATCAATGATCTTTCCTTTCTGGCCTCCTCAAACACCCACATTTCCTTCCTCTTTTAGATTCGAGTTTGGAACATATGTCTTTCTCCCGTCATATAACGTAAGCAGCCATTGTTCAAATGCCACAATTGATTTCCTATCCTTTCCTTTAGGCATATCTCATCTCCGTCTTCAAAATCTATTTCAAATAAAAGTCATTCTTCAGATGTGTGAGCCATCTATGCCAAATTGGCTTCATCTTCTTTCTCTGAATCTTCATCGTCTAGCTCTTCTTATGTTGCCATAAAATTCTTCTTAAATATTTTCCTTAAGTTATCCTTCTGATGACTTCCTTTCTTTGACTATCTCTTTGCATATTAGAATAGTCAATTTTGTAGTGATCAGGTTTGTTGCAGTTGTAGAAAATTTTATCTTCTTCTTTCTTTTTAGATCTTCTAAAGCCACTGCTTTTAGAAAATCTTTTGTTCCTTCTGGCCATTTTCTGAAATCCTTTGAGGAAGCATACCATATCATCGTCATCAGATCTACCATCAGAATCTTCTTTAGAAATTTCATCAGGTTTACTGATCTTTGAACGCCTTTTGGGTTTTTCACCAGAATTTTCAGGATCAGATCTCAAAGCAAGAGATTTATTTTTCTTTGAAGACTCGTCTCTATTCAGTTCCATCTCATGACTCTAAAGGTTTCTAATTAGATTTTCAAGAGATAATGTATTCAGGTCTTTAGCTTCCTAAATAGCTGTTACTTTAAGTCTAAACTTTAAAGGGAGACTTCTCATAATCTTTTTAACATGATCTGATGCAGAGTAACTCTTACTTAATACTTGAAGGGCTGATACAAGAATTTGAAACCTGGAGAACATGGTTTCAATATCTTTATCATCCTTCATTTTGAACAACTCATACTTTGTACCAACAAGTTAGCTTTTGCTTCTTTAACTTGTTGATTTCCTTCATAAGTAAAGCATAATGATTCAAATATAGTCTTAGAAAAAGACTTATCAATGAATTTTAGATACTCGACATGTGGTAGAGCATCAGCTAGAATACCTCTGACTCTGTGATGTTTTCTATAAACTTTCTTTTAAGCTGGAGTTAAAGTTTCTCTGTCAGATACCATACCAACACTACAAACAATGATCTCAATACCATCTTTAAATATATCCCACAACTCATCACTAAGTCCAATGATATAATTGTACATCTTGTTTTTTCACCATTCGAACTCAATAAAATCACCATTGAATGCAGGAGGTTTAGAAGAATAATGGTTTCTCTCAAATGCACTGTGAAAACTCCTCTTCCTAAAGTACCGATAGTAGGATCTTCAGTAGACATATTTTTCTCTTTGGATCTTTATTTGTACCACTATTAAGTGTTATTTACAGACCTTGCTCTGATGCCAATTGAAGGTGAGAAAAATACACAAAAATGGGGAGTTGAATTGTGTATGCCAAATCGATTTTACTTCTGAACCAGAGTTCAGAATCTAAATAGAAGTTCAGAATCTGATTCACAGGTGCAGCGAATAAAATAGAAGAAGTAAATAAATAGGCAAAGAATACAAAAAAGTTATCGTGGTTCCTTTCCAACTCAGAGTAGTCCAGTCCACTTGCAGCACACGAGATTTCCACTATAATCAAACAGACTACAACTGCTTATGTCCTTGAGCATAAGACTTTTCCTGCTCAGACCTACAGCCTAAGACTTCCTTGCTCAATCAGCGCATGATCAAGACTTCCTACTTAGATTCTCAGATCCTAAGACTTACTTGCTTAAACCATTCAGATTCAAAACTTCCCTGCTTATACCCTATAGTACAAGACTTTCTTACTTAGACCTACAGTCCAAGACTTCCTTACTCATATTCCACAAATCCAAGACTTCAACACTCAAGCCCATGACAAGGGACTTATATAAACTGACTGTTTAGAAAAGGAATAACTTACAACAACACTTGATTAACAATCAGAGGTAACACCATGACTTTGGGAAACAACTTCTCAAATGTGAACAACTCATTTTGCTTTTCTAGTGTGCGTGTGAAATTGACCTCTCTTTCATGTTCCAAGTAAGCAAACACAACATAGAATATCAACTTTGATGATGCAACACCAACAATTTTAAATAGTGCTAGCTTATACCGGTTGATTACATGCATTTGCCAAACACTTGTCGGATTCTAAACATTCATATATTTACATTCATATATTTTCATGCACCCATTATATACCTCAGTGTCATGTTGTACATTGTCATGATCGCCTAAATCCTCATCTAGATGGTGGTTATGAATACCACATCTAACATTTATATTCCAACCATAACTACTTTGTGCAGATTTGAACAGAAAGGGACGTTCAACTCTTTTACTATAATAATTTCTGACGTTCCTTTATTTTTGTAATTTCCTCTCATCTCACAACTAATAATCAGTTTATCGCTTATTCCTCTTAACATATTCGTTGTATCAAAATGAATGGTAAACACGATAATACCATGTTGTCTCCTATCCATGATAATACTTATGTTTGAGAGAGAAATATCTGTTATTATAACATAAAATAAATTACTCATAATTTAATTAAAATTTTCAAAAGTTCGGAGAAAACACGTAAATCAAACGTATCAAATCATTTGTAAAGAATTGTATAAAAACTTTTAAAATATCATCTATCTCAAATTCATTCATGGTGAGCACTTTAACAACATATACAAAGCCATTAGATGTTTTTACAAAATATCAATAAAAATGCACACCAAATTTTTAAATTCAATAGAATCTAGTACAAAATTCAACTTTTGTAAGTTATGAGAGGAGCATTGTCATTTTGAAATTAAAGAGGGGTGCCTCATTGAATTTTAGGGTACTAGGTTGAACTCACTAACCTAAAGAGGGGTGCCTCATTGAATTTTAGGGTACTAGGTTGAACTCACTAACCTTAACCTATTTGTGTCCATTTTCGTAACTATAGTATCTGAAATATATTTATTTATTTTATCATTTATCATTTAACCGTTACCTGTGGCTATGTTCTGGTTTGTGGTTGTGAATAGATATGGCAATTTGTGTTTCAGAGATAGTTGGACTTGGAAGCACTTACAACAATTGCAACTTTTCTTGTTTCCGCCGAAAGGTTAATGTTGTTACTTCACAAAACACATCACTTCTCTTCCCTGCAACAACTACAACCAGATTCTCTATTGTTGTTCCTCGAGCTCTGGATCCCAAAACAGGAGAACAAAACTCTATCACTTCTTCATCTCAAGTAAAATCATCAATCAAACTTTTTTTATTCTTTTTCATTACCTATTAATTTTCTTTCTTCTGCAACTACTAATAGTACTTTTTGTTTAAATGATGTAAAATAGGAGGATTTAGTGTATGTGGCAAAACTTGCGGTGGGTTCTTTTGCTGGAGCTGCTGCAGTTAAATATGGTAGCAGTGTTTTCCCTGAGATAACTACTCCAAACCTTGTGTTGGCTCTTGTTATCATCTCAACTCCTGTCATTGTTGCTGTTTTGCTTTTGATAAATCAAAGTCTTCGTTCGAAGCCATAGACTTATTGTTTATTTATGAATCAAAAGTGTTGAATTTGCATGATTATTGTCCAAAGTACATCAATAATGCCAAAGAAGTTTCATACATTTCCAATCAAAAAATCACGTACACATCATACCGTTCTCAAAAAAATCATGTAATTATACCATATTTTTTATAGAGATGTTATTCTGAAGTTAGGATCTTATTTATTTTTCTAAGAAATAAAAAGCTTCTCAAATAGTAGATTCATCTTGTAAGTCTAATCAACATCATTGTTTTTAAAAATTTTCAAACTTTGTTATATCTATGAAAGTAAATGTGACACTGCAATATAACTAGATGCGACTTGGGCTATGTCTGAATATTGTAAAATAAACATAACAGAAGTGGAACGAAATGGAGAGTAACAGAGTTGAATGAAAAAAAAAATCATTTTATTATTTGGATATTTTATGTCGGAATAGTTATTTTGCCATTCTAGAAAATGATGAAATAGGATAAAATACATTCTATCTGGTTCCTTCATTTCTTTCTTTTTTTTAATTACTCCAAACAATGGAACATAATTTCAAACACTGTCGAATGAACTGAACTTGTAGAGTCGACATTTTGATGAAGGATTTATGAAATTAAATTTCACTTATGCGTTAAGAAGCAATAACTTCAAATTTTTATGTGATTCACTGAAATGGACCTTAGACTTCATATGAGGTGTACACTAGCTTTCTCTAGTGCAACCTGCTTAATGGGTACAAATGATTCTCCAACAAGTTATTCTGTATAAACTGCCTCGTGCCAAAATTTACAAGTACAACAAATAAAAGAATATGCATCATTTGTTTCACTTTGCTGCTTTACTCTAACAATTCAGTTGTAGCATTTGAAGAAAATGTCTGCATAGTCCCTCGCCTTCGGCCGGCAGCTGTTTGAAACATTATAACTCTAGCCCTATTAAGATAAGCTATATTCTGGAGACTGTTGATCACTTATTAATCCCATTGAGCTAGAGATTATCTTTAAACCACTTTAGAGCTCCATTTGCCACAGATCTGCAAGTTTCAGTGGAGGTTATTTTTAATCAACTCATCAGATGCACAAAACAATTGCCAAGGTTTAATGAACAAGGATACTTTCAACCCAATAGATGGGCTAAAATTAAAAGAATGGCATATAATATCCATTTTTGTTCAACAATAATTTCCTCGTCAAACCACTAGTGAGACTCAACGGTGAAAAAATAACCAATGGAAAATTTCAGCTATGATGTATTAACTCAATGACAAAAATTTATACCAAGAATCAGATTTTGTTGGAAAATAGAAATTGAGTACATAGGGAAAATGACATGACTTAAAGAATAAAATATATAGCCAGTCGCCTATTTAGTTTCAAAACTGCTACTTTATGCTTTAAAAGAGCCATGTTTGGATATTATGAAATGAACGGAGCATAATGGAGAAGAGCGGGGCAGAACGAAGATACCATTCCATTGTTTGGAAATTTTAGGACGGAACAAGAAAAGTTGTTCATTCCGCCCAAATTGGAGGGGAAGAAATATGGTGGTAAGTGATGGAATTTAATGAAATCCATACCACTACATTCCGCTCCGCTCCATCCGATTTTAAATAATCCTAACAATGGAATGTTATTCCATTCCATCCCATTCTGCTACGCTATTCCATCAATCCAAACAAAATACAATAATGAAAACTGAAGGCTCTACGCATTTTTATGGAAAAAGGGAAACAAAATACAATAACATTATTACCCAGCCATGTTCTTTAGTTTGTTCCATAAGTCATCATCTTCTTCTGATTTCTTTGGTTCTTCTGTGACTGTTGCTGTTGGACTTTCGGCCCTTTGAGCTGCAGGAGCTTCCTTACTTCCGGCTGCAAAAGGTAAACATCACGATTCATAACTAAACTATCTAGTCTACTATTGCACAGTAACAATTCTCTATTGCCATTGTCCAATATGTCTAGAAGACCTAACCATATATCACATGTTATAGGAAAGATTTAAGACATCAAATTAAATGTTCCTAAGGTTGTAGGATAGGGGAGAAAGAACAGCAGATATACAAATGATAAAAACGCCACGTACTGGAAGATTGGGTCCTAGGACGGGATCTTGAATGACTGCTTGTGCCACCTAGAGAAGCAAGTTCTTCAAGCACCTCACGCTCCTTTGAACTGAATAAACATAGTGGAGGCAGGCAATTCAAATTAAACTGCTGATATTGATCCCAAAAAAATAATACATGGTAGGGAGTAACAGAAACAAAGTCAAAATTATAAAATGACTGTTACCTGATACGTTTTGGTATTGTAACTTTAACAGTAAATAAGTGGTCACCACGTATTGATGGTCTGTTTAATTTTGGTACACCCTTCTTTGCAAGGACGAGGACATCTCCAGGTTGGGTACCAGCGGGGATTTGTAGTTCAGAAGTGCCTTCAACTGTCTTTACCTGTTTTAAGTGCCACAAAATGTTAACTGTTGATTGCAATGCCTCAAGGTAACAAGTCACATCGGGGTTGACACCCAAAACACAGAAAAGTCAAGAAAAAATATATACATTCAGCAAAAATCAAATCTTAACATTCAATAAATCACAATCTTAATTTGTAAAAAAGGCTGAACATGTTTATAAAAGAAAAATGGCCAGACTGTTTTCAATTTTAGTCATAAAAAATCTCATCAGCCAAATCAGTCTCACTTTTTTTCATGTGATGCTTGCAAGGCAATAAAAGTGCTGGTAGAAAAACAAAGTGTTATCCAAATAGTTACATTCAAGGGCCAACATAAGATACTGTTAGATTCTGTAGTAAAATCCCAAATACTAAGGGATTAGATTAATATCCAAATAACAGGATTATCTTCATGAGAATCTTTATTTCCCTTTCTGTATTTGTTAGTAGTGATTTGATTATTTGTCATAGTTTAAAAATTTATTCCTTCCCGTTACTATTTTCTAGAGAAGACAGGAGTATAATTATCATTATGCTACCATCATATGGGCAAATATATCGCTCTTATTGCATAAAATACTTTTAGTCAGGGAAAAATATGAATAGAACATTATGGCACATCATGCTAAGCATTGGGTTTCAAGGATAACAAAGAAAACAACAAGGAAGATGTTAATGCAAGTGAAAACAGACCAAAATAAAACCTTAATGAAATTAAAAGGACTAAAGCATAATTAGAGTGTACAAAAAGATGCAATAAATACTCAAGCTTGCAAGAATACTATTAATATATAAGTTAATTTACCTTCACTACAGACCCCAATATAGCATCTAGATAAGTGATTGATATGGTTGAGCGGAGATTAATATCATCTCTTTGAATTCCTGGTATCTCAAGCACATCAAGATATACGTAAAGATCTCCTGGAGGACCCCTGTTATGGGAAGATAATCAATTGCAACTTCTGAATCGAGTAATTGATATAGTTTGAATTAATGAATAACTAAACCATTTTGACAATGAGAAACAACTATTATGGTGTTGGTGAGGACTCCAGAAGATACAAAATCATTTTCTAGCATAGATACAATAATTAACAAGGACCCCTTTAAAACTTTAATCTCAAATGTCTTAGACCTTTTTAAAATGCTCAAGGTAGATACATATTTTAGTCCAATTAGTTTTTATATGACTCCAACTAGGATATAATAAAACTTGAAGAGAAGAACAGTAAGAAAGGTCAACAATTTCATAACAAATCAAATTGCGTTTCTCTTAATTGGATATATAAGAAGCATAATTTACGTTTGGGGTGTCAATCACTGTACATACATTTCCAATTAGGTTTTTTCTTTTCTGGAGCAGGCTTCCTACGCAGCATTCTTTGTAGGCTTACCCTCCTGCTGTCTTTTGTTGGAGCATTAAAGCTTGTGTTTTGATGAGACATTTGTCCCTGAAAAGCTGGACTTGCCTTACAGGATTTTTCATGGCTTCTAATGAGGTCTCCTTTCTAAACATAGTGAGGGATTGAATTATTCATTATTGGAATGCTCTTTTGTAAGAATGTCTTTGCTTTACTCAAATTTGTTTGTTTATATTGAGATGCCTAGTATTCAATCCATATTAGTTCACGCTTTAGATGTCTAGTCATAAATGTGAAAGGATATGCTGAGAGTTACACAACAAGAGATATGTCCTAGGTTGTGCTTATAAAGCTTTGACAGCCCTCACCTTAGAAGTTGTTATTTAGTCAGACTATGATAGGCTTTCAAATTCTAAGAGTTCACATTAAAGAGAATCGATACTAATCCTCTTTTTACTCTGTAATATTGTTCCTTCCTTTTAGAAGTATTTCTTCATTCATCAGTGTGAGAAAAACTTACTAACTGATGGAAACATATATGTCATGTGGTAACATAAATACAATAAAAGCAATACACACGCAATTTATAGTATAACTTCTTCTATCCAATAATTGGCCGAATACTTTCACAATGAGAAAACCAGATATAAAATAGCATACCCTCTTGGTCCAGCATCACCCTCTCCAGTGACTCTTAGGATACTGCCTGAGCTAACCCCGGGAGGAACTTTAACTTTCATATTTTTCTTAACCCGTATGCGTCCTGCACCACTGCATTTACGACAATTTTCAGATATGACTTCCCCGTCACCTCCACAGTTTGGACATACTGAAACCTAACATTGAAAAGTAATTAGCATAGTATTGTCAACCAGAGAAAAAGTACAATGTTTCTATATTATGTAAGAAAACTGCACAAAAATGAAGATGAGCTGATGAACTAATATATGCAATTGATGAAAAGATAAATGGTTATTCCCAAAAGTCAAACATAAAGATGTCAACAACAGCAAAGAACAATGAAAACCTTTTCCTACTAAGCCTGGATTAGGGGGGTAAACAATTCACGAAAATAAAAGGAAAATTATAAAGGGGAATGTAGAATAATGTTTAACCAATGTATAAACTTAATTGGAATACCTTTGTATTCATGTTACAAATTACAATCTCTATTGTGTAATTACATTCTCAATAAATATTTCATGGGATTGAATTTCAATTTCAAAAACTTTATCTAAAACAAATCAGCAATATCGGCATTACAGAGAATGATTCATCAAAATAATTTCAATAAATGGTAGATTTACTGTTGAAATTTCTGCTTTAATTGCAGCCCGCCCCTAGTCGCCCTAATTGCGGCATTTGGTTTGCCTTCATTGCAACCTCCAACACCTTCATTGTATTGAGTTTGAAGGGGTGAATTTAGTTCCACATTGCTTAGAGATATGGTTTGTGTTGTGTTTATAAGTGGAGACAATCCTCACCTTACAAGCCGGTTTTGTAGGGATGAATTAGGCCCGACCCAAATTCTGAGATGGTATCAGAGCCTATCCTAGATCCATTATTGGGCTTTCCACATCGTCCAAGCTTCGGGCTCATTGAGGCTCAAGCGTCAGGGGTGTGTTGGAATTTCCGCCTTAATTGCAGTCTGCCCCTAGTCGCCTAAATTGCTGCATTTGGCTTGCCTTTATTGCAACCTCCAACACCTTCATTGTGTTGGGTTTGAATGGGTGAATTTAGTCGCACATTGCTTAGAGATATGGCATGTGTTGTGTTAATTAGTGGAGGCAATCCTCACCTTACAAGTCGGTTTTGTAGGGATGAGTTAGGCTCAACCCAAATTCTGAGATTTACTTTTATCCATTTTTTTCTTTTTGCTTTCTGGCTGGAGGACTGTTGCCTTATGTTACAGGTGTGTGGTTTACTGATCTCTTCCAGTCAATTTATGCAGCAAATGGGATTCTTTTTCATGAACAACCACAGTGGAAATCAATTACAAGTTACAACATAGAAATACAGAGAAGAACTAGGTAGTCATATCAGCAGGATGACCTCAAAGTTCCAGTAGCAATTGTCAAGAATTCTCGGTTCTTGTTCTCCACATTAGCAGAACTAACGAAATCAAGAGAGAAAGAAAATGATATCCAAAACTATAAAAAAAAACAACTCAAATTACCTGTGAGAACAACCCAAAAGGTGTTTGTTCGGTCCTCATCACCTGACCCCTACCACCACAAGTTGAACATACTCTCATCTTGGATCCTAACTTTGCACCAGTACCAGTACAGACTTCACATGTTTCTAAATGGAAAAGCTCAAATTCTTTCTCTGCTCCAAAAATTGCCTCAGAAAACTCCAAGGAGAAATCATACCTGTTGATATTTGAACCAAAAGTCTTCTCAATTTATAGAAAACACTCTTTAAAAGTACAGGTGTAATTTTTGTGTAAAACTACCAATACTAAATATAAAAGATGTCGGACCACCGGATGATATTTGGAGAAAGTTATTGCTTAGAAACTCCCCATGTTAAAAACTAAACTACAATGCAGAAGAATTGGAGTGTCACTTAATTGTTCACATCGAATCATTTCTCCTGATCCTTCCACCATCCCTAGCCAAAGCATTAGATTTTGGTGTTCTATTCTATTTGTGGGTCTGTTCCTTGTTTTTTTATGGAAATGTATCGTGGAGTAAAGCTTATGTTATCTGTACTACACTAATACTCTAGTACTTGACCTAGATTAATAGTATAAATAAGGGTGTAAATTGGTAAAGTTCAAAACCATTATGGCTGATTATTAATGTACTTATTTTCCTCGGCTTTCCTTTCTCTTTGAAATTCTTTGTAGGCATTGAAGACCAAGCTTTATTCAGGCGAAATTAGATACAGGAGTCAAACAAGGCCTATTGGGGTCTAACTAATTAAAAAAAAAATCAACAAATCTATTTAGAGTAAGATACTTTTTAGACATTTAAATTAAGTAGCAAATATAATAATCATTGACTTGGCATACATGGCTGGAAGAAAAGGAATTATTTATCCAGTGTAACTCACCGGATGTCTTCACCCTTAGTAACAGTACTACGACGTCGTGTGCCAAATCCAGTTGGATCCATGCCAGCAAAGCCGCCCATATTTGGCCCAAAAAAAGTCTCAAATAAATCAAATGGATTTGTCTGTAAGAAAAAGATTACTAATTTAAATCTACAATACAGAAGCTGTAAAAGATGGCTAGGTAGAGTAAAAGACAATTTCAATTGACATGCATTTCAATTCCCATAAAAAAGACAATGTGTGTCATTGGAGCATCAGTAAAGTAACCTGTAGTTCTCCGGACAACAAAGTTTTTATCATTTTTTTCAAGTGTTTGGCTCCCTAATCTTACATACTAAACACGCAAGCAAAAAAAAATCATATTGAATACCGCATAGGCACTTGATCCTCCTCCCACTGAGCTCTTAACCCCTGCCTCGCCATATTGATCATACAAAGCCCTCTTTTTGTCATCTGATAGCACCTGACAGTGTTGCAACTCACAATTCAGAAGCCAGCGTCAAAAAATAATCTAAAACAATTGTACATTTGTAGACAGAACTTCAAGATGGATTTGTGACCTTGTTCCAAAAAGAAACTGGAGCTTAAGACATTTCCACCAACCCAATTAAGAGTAAAAGGTAATTCATAAGTACCAATCTACATTCGTATGACGTTGATTGTTGAGTCCTTTATAGCACGGCATTAGATAAAAAACAGAGACAGTTTAAGCTGCTTCTGCTTACCTACTCTTCAAAACTTGACTTTTTAGTTTTGATCTGTCATATTACTTTTTTTAACTAAAGTATTTTAAAGTACTAGCTTGTTACTTAGCCCAATTTTTCATAGCACAGAAATGTTTTCATATTGAATGTTTCTGCAAAGAAAAAAAAGGCTGAAAATATTTTAAAATCAACCATTCTTTAGAAATAAGAAAACCTCTGAATTGAACAGAAAAATCCATTGGATCAGCCCAGAGGCAGCTAAAGCACTACTGCTCCCATTTAATCTTCATACCAATGACCAAAGCCTATGTGTCGCTTATGTAGTTTTTCCATTCTAATTACAAAGAAAAGAAAAATGGCACATGCGGTAGAAATTGGGACCCTAAATCATAAAATCAACCATCCAATCATTGACAATAAAAATTTCAGCTGATTACTTAAGCAAATGAAATTGAATTTGAACATGTATACTCTTCCGGTAAAGAAAACTCAAGACAATAACAACAACAAACACTGAAAAGTGTATATTCTATACATACCTCATACGCATTACTAATCTCTTTAAACTTATCAGTTGCCCCAGGCTCTTTGTTCACATCAGGATGATACTGCATACAAATCAAACAATCCGAAAAATAGCATAAAACCAATTTCAATTTCTTGCAATAGATGAACACAATTAAGAACAATTTCATCAACAAAATTAAATAACAATTTAAGAAGCGAAAATTGGATACCTGACGAGCTAACCTTCGATAAGCGGCTTTGATATCTTTGACGGTGGCGGATTTGGGAACTCCGAGAGTAGCGTAATAATCAGAAGAAGCAGCAAAAACAGTGTGGAATCGTTTTCTTCTGGATGAGAATTTAGAATTAGAGTTAGAGAAAGTGGAAGGAAAAGGAGAAGGAGAATGAATGGAGAGGAAATTGTTGGTGCTGCTGTGGGAACGGAAATGGATTCCGGCGGCACAGAAGCAAGAGTGAGTAGTAGAAGGAGGAGGAAGAAGAGAGAGGGAAATAACCGCCATTGATTGAAATTGAAATGAAAGTGAATTTAAAAATATGGTTTGTTCATGATATTAACGCACGCTTGTATTGTGGGAGAAAAAAGCGTGGTGAATGAAAAAAAGTGGGGTTTTATGGGTGCGGTGCTGGTGGTGCTGGTGGCGGAAGTGAGGTGGAATGTTGGCATTGGTAGAAACCGGAAAGGAAGAGGTTCGTGGGACCCACGGCTATGAGATAAGTTGTGGCCTATTGCTGGCCTCGCCTTGTGACAAGTTTTTGTTATTATGCTTTATTCTTCTATATTACTACATCCATTTTAAAATACATATCGTTTAAGAGTTTGCTTAATTGTTTAGAAAAATAAGTGATAGAGACTATGATAAAAAAGAAATACGTAGGAAGGAAATAGAGTAAATTTTAATTTAAATAAATATAAATAATTTTATTATTATTATTATTATTATTATTATTATTATTATTATTATTATATATGATTTATTATTACTATTATTATTATATATGATTTATTATTACTATTATTATTATATATTATACTATGTACTTTGAACTAAAATAAAAAAAATAAAATTTAATCATTTTAAAATGTTTAAAAGAATAAATTTAAAAAAATATGAACAATATTATAAATTTGTCTCAAATAAATAAATACAAACAAAAATTTAGTCGAATTGATCTTTTAACTTATTAATTTATTTAAATATTAGTTAAAGTTTTTATTTACAAATATTTAAATGAAACTTTTAAATATGTTAATAGATCAATCAGACAAATAAATTCATATTTAAAGATAAACTTATGATAGATGTCAGACTTAGATTTAAATTTATTGAAAGATCATACTTAAATTTGACAATACCTATCTTAAATCAATTTATTTCCGCCCCAACTTCCATATCCATTAGCTTCATTTCTATAAATTCACAATGTGGAGACATAAATTACTTGATTGGTAAATATTTGTTCAACTTGGCACTCTAACTTATTTCATCTAGTTTAGAGGATTTCTTAAAGCATCTTAGATGCTTCATACACTTTGTGAAATTGTAAAAATTGTCTTACACGTTCATTATTTAGTAGAGACTACTATATGATTGGTATTTGTTTATAGGATTAAGAACATTGTTTTCTGGTATTTGTTTATAGGATTAAGAACATTGTTTTCCTATGACATAGGAGAGAGTTCTGTTTTAATAATACAACACAATTTAGACTTGTACCATGGAAATCAACATAATATGTATGAAACAGTAACTGAAAAATAATCAAATCTAAGAGCAAATAAAAACATAATTTACATAATTTGTAGTACTGTGATGCCAACAAACCGGTCTCAACATTCTCAGTAATTTTAGTACATATAATACTAGAAATCAATTCAGTGAGAAATAAATTACGAATTATTATTATCAGTTCTATTCCGGGTTGATAAGATAGATTCACTCCGGAATAGCTACATTTCCTTGACCTATAGGAGCTACACAAATTGTAACAATAAACAATACATACTTCTTTTGGAAAAATAAAACATGGGATATAATTAATTAGCCAGATACAGCTATTCAACTGTCTTGATTGTGATACTCTACCCGCTGATTGCATTAGAAACCGTCGGGAGGGAAACGCCCAGGAAAAGGGTTGTATTTTTGTGCCTGATTCAGATGCATTCGCAAAGCATAGTTGTTAACCTGTGAACAAAGCCAAAGATACAGCATCCATTAGCATATGCAAAGCAATGGAACCATTTTCTCACTTTATCTTCAAAGGAAAACAATTCAAATTCAAAATATATGTATAAAACTAAATAGCAGTTGAATTTTTTCAAAATTCACACCAGAATATGGGAATGATTCAAGTATTAAGATAAAACAGAGAACTGTGAGAACAGAACAGGGATAAATCTGATCTCTAACCTCAAGAGTTCTGATTTGTTCCTGGTATTGAGATACCAACTGCTTCAGCTGCTGCAACTCACGGTCTTTATCTTCATAATCAGAAAGGCGTTCAAGCTGGATTCTAAAAGCACTTTTAAAACAATTTCTCTCCTTGGTCAAGACTTCAACTTGATATTTCAACATCAGATTTTCCTGAAAACAAAAACCACTATATAAGCTCAACACTTACAACCAAAATTATTTTCCACAACCAAAAACTCCACTTCATAATTATATTTGAAATTTTCAATACCAAATTCTAGTAGCCCGATTAACAAACCATTAAGAAAAGAAATTACAGCCCAAACACATACCCTTTGAAGATCAGTTAATGCCCCAGAACTTGCATGTGCACTGATTGATTTCTCCAGAACCTCAAGAAGTTTCGCAGCACGAGCTCTGGCATCATCAACACTAGTAGCACATGACATTTCTCTAACAAACAAGTCAATCCATTCAGGTCCATCAGCAGGAAGATTGTTTTCAGCTGGCTGATTCCCAGAGGCAGTGGCAGATGCATCCCCATTATTTTCAAAAACACCTACAAAATTATTCCAAAATCTAATCCATCAAATATTTATTTTTCATCTTTATCATGACACAAAATGCCATTAGAAAAATTGCATTGTATTGCATAACAAAACAGTACTATCACTGCATGAACATCCAATAAGAAATTTGAAATATATTAAGTAATAGACAAATACACAAATAAAACATCCTATCCGACTAGAGAATATGTTTGGTTCTGCAGAAATAAAAATTGATTCTGATGAATTGATTATACAAATTGACTTTAATTATAAGGTGACAAAAACTGATTTTAAATTAATGATTTTATTTAAAAGTGAGTTGAATATAAAGTGGTTTATTTTTTAATACATTTATGGAAAAAGTGAACTACACAATAATTTCAGTGTATAAATCACATTTAAACTCAAAAGCTATAAATCATCACTTCCAAAATCAATTGTAATTGAGAGCAACGAAACATGTTAAAATCAATTTTTAACATCCAAAATCAAAATCTGAGTGCTCCAAAAGTGTATGCAAACATATGCATGTGTTTGGTTTTGCGGTGAAAAGAATTGATTTTAAATGAATTGATTATGTAAAAATGGATTCTAGCTAAAAGTGACTTGAAGTCAAAGTGATTTATATTTGGATAAATTTATGTAGTAAGTTGAACATTAATTTTAAATGTAAAAATCACATTTAAACTCTAAAGCTACAAATTCTAACTTCAAGTAAAATCAATTCTGGAGACAATTCTAACTTCAAGTAAAATCAATTCTGGAGACTAGAATCAATTCTAATTTAGAAGAACCAAACGCTTTAAAATCATTCCAAAATTAATTATACACCTCTAGAATTGTTTTTGCCTCTTTCAAAATCTAAACCAAACACATGTATACTACTATGGATCCACAGGTTCAAAAATGTCGAATTGAATATTGATTATAAAGCAAAGATTCATGCAATGTATATAATATGGATTGGTAATGCATTGGGGGCCAAACACCTCAAAATTATTCCAAAATCTAAACCAAACATACACTAAAAGTGTCTTGAAGGTAAAGTAACTTATTTTCAGTGTAGTCGATGGTGGATGGTGGTCCATGGCAGAGAGCCGAAATCCCGCCATACTTGCCGCTTTGCGGCGCCGCTATAGCAGATTATGGCGGATCGGACGATATTTATCAATGTGGCGAGCCCAAAAAAACGTAGTGTTTATCCGCTATGGCGCCGCTATTTGATAACACTATTCGTGTTTAGATACATTGATTTAAAAGTATAAAAGAGAATTCAACCATAAATTTGACATTTCTAAAATCAAAAGCTCCGATATCTAGCTTCAAGTTAGAACCAATTATCAAGAAAAAATCAATTAAAATTAAGAGCACGTCTCTAAAGTCAATTTTACTACACGTTGATGAATACTTTAAAAATCGAATCGAACCTGTTTCAATGGAAAGATCAGGTTGTGGAGCAATTGCGGCAATTTCATCTGCAGATCCTAAGCAAAGCCCGTGCAAACTTTTAATAGCAGCATCTAAATCATTACCGCATTCCTGCAATGCTCTTTCAAGGATCTAAAACAAGAACACCATAAATCATCTCGAACATTAATCAATTAATCGAAAAAATAAAAATAATTAAAAAATTCATAAAAATCATCAAACCTGATCTTCCATATTGGGAAAAAGATTGCGAAGGTGATCAACGAGCGTTGGAAGAGAAAGACGAATCGGAGAAGATGAACAACGAATCCTCTTGGAAACAGGTGGTGAAGGAGGAAGGTCTTCGAAGAAAGATCTCTTGGTTCCGCACACCGCAGCAGACATCGTTCAAAACTGCGTCGTCGTCTTTTAGGTTTTCTTTCTTCTTACGCTTTTTCTGTATTTGCTTGTTCTTCCCCAAAATACAATTCCAATTGAAATCGAATTGAGAAATTGGGGTTAATGCGATACAATATTCGTGTCTTGGATTGGGCGAATTCGTTCAGAGCAAGACAAGTTATGGTAGAAAACCAATCTATCCAGGGTTATACTTATATGCCCTACGTTCGAAGTAACATTCTCTTGCTTATCTCGTCACATCATTCTCTTAATTATATTTTTTTGATAAATAAATATTTCTGTTTACAATTATACTTCTCTATTAATATATTTTATAAAAAAGTTCTTTTTATTATGAATTTAAAAATAATGTACGGTTACTGTAAATCAATATTACACGTCCAATCAAAACCTTTATATTTATCATGTTATATTAATAGTTTAAAAAATAAAGTATAATTAAACAGAATACACGATGATATAAAGTCATTTTAAAATAAATTAAACTAATTATAATATCACCTAAGACAATAAATTAGTTTTTAAAGAGAATTGGGTTTGTTCTTTATAAAGGGTAACTCCGTAACTGTGCAACTTATTATATGTTTTTCTATTATTTTTGTATTATATATATTTGACATTTACTTATAATAAAGAGATAAGTGGAACTTACTTATATTTATGTGTTAAGAAACACTTATATTAACTTATAATAAAGAGATGAGTGGAACT